AGAGAGAGAGAGAGAGAGAGAGAGCATAATATGAGTGTGTGCATGTGTAGGTATATGTGAAAGTGTCCGTTTGTGTGTTCACTGCTTGGGAGTGCGCGTGTACAAAATACGATGTATACTACGGCGTGTGTAAATTTGCGCGCCCGCGCGTGTGTGTACATGTATGTGTACCGGTGTCATGTTGATGTACGACTGGCCCCCCAGGAAATCGCGGTCTCGCGGCCGCACTTGCGACCGCGGTATTCGTCGAGTTCCGCAATAAACCCGCAATTTTTAGCAATTTTCGCAATTTCTTGCAATGAGTGCATGTACGCATACGTACGTGTGTGTGTTTATGTAAGATTGTATATGTAATGAAATGAGAATGTGTGTATAATAAAAATGTGTACGGTAGTATATTATTATTATGAGTAGGCCCATGTCCGTTTGTGTCATTTGTATTTGAAAGTGCGTGTGTGCAATATACGACGAATATATTTAATTTTCATGTAATTTGCGAGCGCGTTCGTGTGTGTGTGTGTGTGTGCGTGTGTGTGCGAATACCGGTGTCATGTATGAGTGCGTGTACAGGAGAAGGTGTGAATGTACACACACGTGTGTGTGCGTGTAGTGTATGTATTTGCGTGTGTGCAGTGTTTACATGTGTATGAGTGCGTGTGAGTGAGTGCGTGCACTCGTGTCTGTGTGTGTACGTAAATATGTGTGTGGACATGTGTCAACGAGTGTGTGAATGTATACTGCATAAGTATAGGCCTACGTCGTGCGTCGTGAGCGTAGGTGTACGCAGTCCTACGTGTGTAAGTGCATGCGTGCATGTGTACGTGTTTGGTTGAGTATGGGGAGGGCTTAACCCTCTCAGTCTGAGGGTCGACTCGTCAGTGTAAACAAACTTTAACAAGGAAGGATGAAACACCCGTGCTTTTCGCATTTCCCGCTGTCATAAGGGGGACGAGAGCCCTTTGTTCGTTATGGGGAGTTAGGACATTTGTTTTTCAATGGGTTTTTTTTTTTGGGGGGGGGGAGGGGGTAGTAAGAGTTGTACAGCACTTGCAACACAAACAGGTCATATAAGTGCTTAAGATTAGCGGTGTTACAAAGAGTTACATACAAAGAAAAAAAGGAGGAGAGAATAAGAATGGTGTTTGTTGATAGTGATAGAGAAGAAGTAAGAAGAAGGAGCAAAGGAGTAAAACCACACCAGAGCTCCCGTGAACCAGCCATCGTTTGAGTAAAGAGAAGAACATTGACGTAATAATACGTTACTATCTAGACGGTCAGAGAGATCGTAATAAGAACGTATAGGTTACTATCATTTACCTGCAGGGAAAAAGGCAGATGGACAGAAATAGCCGAGGGAAAGACCATAGAAGTAAGATAAGACCTACAAGCGGTGCCCTCCCCAACCGCTCGAAATTTGGTCCTCAATGGGTGCCTCACTGGGAGCAGTCCTGATTTCGCACTCACAGTCACAAGGCACACATGCTCTGCATCACGTGCACGCATGCCCACCCACACAAACAAACGTAGTGTTGGCAACATCATTCAGTTTTACGGCACTTGCAACAAAAACAGGTCGTATACGTGACGAAGGTTGAAAGTGTTGCTAGAATAAGAAAAAAATAATAAAAGAAGGAAGTAGCCTACGTAAGAACGATGGATAGTATGACAGTGATAGGAAACGAGCAAACTTCAACATAGCACCTGGAGTACTAATAATTACCCATTGCTCTGCTTCACATGCACACATGCATACACACACAAACAGACTTATGCAACATCAGGCACAAACGCAAATACACATTTTTGTATACAAGTACAGTTAAATCTCGTCGTACCGCCAGATTTTGCCAATGTACGAAAAGGGACGCCTAGTAATGTATCAACATGTAGTATTTTCCCCTTCACACCGCCAACTGTCTGAGGTGTACGGTCTTTATTTAATTAACTAATGCAAATTTACCCCATCACACTGTCAGGTCTTATGCATGCGACGGTGAAGTGCCTCATCACTACATCACAGAAGCCGGGAGAGAAAGGGGGAGGGAAAGAGAGGGAGAGAGAGAGAGAGAGAGAGAGAGAGAGAGAGAGAGAGAGAGAGAGAGAGAGAGGGAGAGGGAGAGGGAGAGAGAGAGAGAGAGAGAGAGAGAGAGAGAGAGAGAGAGAGAGAGAGAGAGAGAGAGGGGGAGAGAGAGAAGGACAGAGAGAGAGAGAGAGAGAAAGAGAGAGAGAGAGAGAGAGAGAGAGAAGGACACAGAGAGAGAGAGAGAAAGAGAGTGAGAGACAGAGAGAGAGAGAAAGAGAGAGGGGGGGGGGGGATATGCAGATTAGGTCTATATATTATATTAGAAAAAGTCTGATGTTAACTATTCTCCATCCACATTTGTCAGTGTCCACAAAAAACCCTCTCTCTCTAACTCTTCCTCCCTCCACCTCTTTTTCTATCTGGTTTCTCTCTCTCCCTCTCCCTCTCTCTCTCTCCACACAGACACACACACGAAAGTGAGCAACAAGCCAGAGACCATTATATTATGGTGGCCCCATCAGGCAGTTTACTAAGAGTTCTCATGATATATATATATACACGATGAAATGATATGACATGGAATCATGACGGTCAGGAAACAAGCACCAAACACCCCTCAGTCAAGTCACAAGCACCACAGAGTCAGAAAACTTGTGCGGGCACTCAGTCAGGCCAGGTACACTCTCACTTTGCCAGTCTATTCCTTTTGTAATGTAATACCAAGACAGTAAACTTGTCCGAGCATACAAAAGTCCAAGCAACGTTCTCACACAAAGTACATAGTACAGGCAATGACTATGACAAGATATCATAGAAATACACAATCATTATTTTGTAGCAGTAACACACACTCACTCACACAATAATTCTTCTGTACCAGTCACTCATACAATTACAATCACTCCTCTCTACCAGTAACACCCTCACAATCATTCTTCTGTGCCAACAACAACACTCCAGCAGACATTCCTTGTAACTGCAATTACATAGCTGCCAAATTTTCAGAGCCAAAAAAACAGACTACGTACAAGGTGGATCAAGAAAGCGGGTAATAACCAAGCAACCCCCCTTCCTAACCCTTTACAGACACACTTTTCAGCATTCAATAGATGAAAACTGTTCAAAATGAAGCTGCAGCAAAAGATCTCTCCCATTGATTTATGGGCTTCATTCGCATTACTATTTGCAAAACTGATCTTGAAAGCTCATAATTTTACTTCAGCATCAGCAAGTCCCAGCAGTGCAAAACTAGAAAACAGAGAATACATACTATCCAATTTGAAAATAGACTTCTATACTCAGATCATCAGGAACATATTGATATTAAGCAAGATTTTTATGTAATGGTTGGTAGCTATGCAATCATTGGGAAAATGGAATGCTTGCAAACTGGCATAAACATTTTTACACAGGAACTGAACTATGGGTGGCAAATATGGAGCAATAAATGCAGACACATATTCCTACTTTCAAAAAACACAACAGACATTCAGAAAACAACACAAGTTTCCGCACCGCCAATAAGGGCTGAGATGGAGTGATGAAAATGACAGTGAACGTGTGAGCGTCAGCCTCATGGTGTCAGACTACCAGCCTGTAACTGACGTATCTGCCGGCTGTCTCGCTGGGACGAATAATCTTGACAACCTGAGCAAGAGATATTATACATTACAACACATAATGAAATAAAGCTATATACAGTATAACCCAAATAGGTTGAACACATTATTTGCAATTAAGCATCTGTTGAACTGTGTCTGCGGTCCCGTTTTTTCTTCTTCTTTATCTTTGTAAGAAAATTATGTGAAGTTCGAACACAAACACGAAATAGTCAAACTAATTGCGCCGCCGTAGAGGTCTACAGTCAATGTCCTTTGAGGTGCACTTGAGACAAAATAATAATAGGTCTGATAATTTTATTTAAACGAAAAAAGGCAAGGTCGGCTAACTACTACCTCCCCCCTCCACAGAAGCAGCTAGCTGTGCTCTTTTTAGCGCGCTGCTCAGCACGTGTTCTCTCTGCGTGTGCCTAGGTCCTAGGCCTAGCTAGACTTGTGTGGAGCAGATGAGAGAAGGGGTTGTGCATCACACAACCAGCCGCCCCACCCCTCTTTGCAAAGGACTGTGTGCTTGGTAGGAGAAGCGGGGTAGGGCTGCATTGTTTCGTCATCGGGTTGTTGATTACTGTTGCGATATTATGCTTACACTTATCTTGTCAAATTGTTTGTTTTGAAAAGATTGAAAAGGCACCGTTCAATTGGTGCAGACTAAAGACCGCTCACACTGACCAGCGCAATTAAACTGTCGGGGTACCGAAAGCATTGCTCATCATGTTTTCTCATTCTCAATCTGTAAATTTCAAATTCAATAGACATAGATCTAACCTATCTGATCTAGGACAATGGCCGAAAAAAGAAAAATCTCTGTTCCGACCCAATCTTTGTTGCTTCCCTTGTTCACTGACACAGCCGATGCCATTACAACACTGTTCATGTATCCCTCGAACTACCGAGGCCAGTCCCGACGAATTCGAGCTATCCGTGTTATACTGTATATGTTTTATTATTCTACTTCTGGCATCCTCTCTTTGCTATATTTTTCAACTTCTTATGTCATCTGTTTGCTTCATTGTTCAACTTCTTACATCGCCTATCTACTTCACTACACCATTTCTGATGTCATATTTATCTACTCTATTTTTTAATGAACTAATAAGCTCTGTGACATTCTATTTCACAGGACAAAGTAAGATACTGACCTGTCCTCGTTTCAATCCAAAGTATCTGGACACTGGGTCTCCCTCCTGGATTCTGGGAAGTTGTGACTCCTTCAGCTTACTGATCAATGGTTAAGGTAAATATAACATCATGTACATGGACTTTATTTCTAATCTTTAACAGGGGTATTTTTCAGTATATGTGGTTGCACATACACTCCACCCTTGACACGATATACACCTGCACTAACAACCACCTGTCTACCATACGTTTAAGACAATCACCTGTACAAACGACCACTTCCCATTTCTCCCCTTGCATTTTTTCTGCTTTAAAATAACACTGTCCAAGATGCCCACCTGTCTAAGACAACTGCTTTTCTCTTCAACAATGTGTAGCTGTCTTGGACAAATTTGACTGGAGAAACTCAACAAAATAATTTCCTTCTTAAGAATCAAAGTCACATCTTTTACATTAAAAGGTGAATGACAGGAGTGCACATGGAGCTCACAACAGGTATGAAAAATACATGCACACTGCAGGGTCTTCTCACTAATCTCGCAATAATCTTTCCAAGATCACAATTTTGATTCACTATAGTACAGCAGAGATTCACTGCAACTGAGGTTGATGACACCTAATGGTTCACAACTCCCAGGACTCTAAACAGTTGAGGTTCACAGCTGGCAACAAAGAGACCTAATTCACAACCTCCATCCTTGACCTGCTGTTTCAGTATCATCATCACATATCTGGTTTGGCATTAGATAAATCTAAGGTTTCAACATCACCATCTGCCTACCTCCCTGTTCTTCAAGGCATGATATTCCATACCTTAGCTAAGACGTTCGAAATCTTGGGTCAGAAGGGAGTATGTTATACCATGGTTTTACTGTTTGTCCTTCTGACATATTGAGTGCCCACCAGATAAAAAAGGCATTGGTTATAGTTAAAATAACCTAACCAAAAAGACTCGCTTGACCCATGCAAAGGTCAAGCCAAAAATTTTAGCAGAAGCGATGAACAGACATCAGTTCACACATTCAAATCAACTTGAGCAGCTCAGGAAAAGGTCACAGAGACGACAGATTAGAGCTGTACGCTCGAAGGTGTCAAAGGCCCTTCACTTGACCTTCATGCTAGTGTCAACAAACTCTCCAAGAGAAAAAACACTATCTAGCTTCTTTAATTTTGGTTTCAGTAAGAGTGTGACGGCTATTTCAACACAATTAGAGGTGTTACTAGAAGAAACATGTAGTAACATAAAAAAATAAAGGAGAGATCTAGACGATAGACGTTTCATTGGAAAGAGGAAGCAAACCACACTAGGGTACCCAACAACCAATCACCTATCAACTGTACTTCCCAATTTCTGAGATCATTTATCTGCGTTACCGTTAAACTTCTGACAAGATGAGCCAAATACCACACCAAGACATGTTCCAGGTATTTCTTTGCCATAACTGCACTTTCCCCCCCCTCCTGATCACCCATGCTCAAAAGGATACTATCTGTTGAGTAGTTCTATTTTCTCCTCAGGGGTCATGACTTTGTGCTCGGGGACCAGCTGTGGAACAAAGAAAAAAAAAACACTCAGCATTAATGTCAGAAAGAAATAGACTGAGGAATGTGTGTGTGTGTGAGAGAGAGAGAAAGAGAGAGAGAGAGAGAGAGAGAGAGAGAGAGACAGAGAGAGAGAAAGAGAGAGAGAGAGACAGAGAGAGAGAGAGAGAGAGAGAGAGAGACAGACAGAGAGAGACACAGAGAGAGAGAAAGAGAAAAAGAGAGAGACAGAGATAGAGAGAGAGAAAGAAACAGAGAGAGAGAGAGGGGGGAGGGATGGGGGAGGAATGAGAGAAAGTTGAACGATGAACAAGAGAGAGAAAAACAGAAGAAAGAGGAAAGAGATAGAGGGGGATGATGAAGGAACTGTTGTAACAGCCACGTACCATGTGCTCTGTGATGTTGATCAACAGCTCTGACTCGATGAACTGCTCCAAGATGTATTTAGGTGCCATCTCCACCAGGGCCTGAGGGTCGTAACAAAAGACAGGAAGTCAAATGTACGGGTACACCCAAACAATCCTACCCCCATATTATAATAAATACTAGAATAATGAGATCTAGGGATTAACAAAATAACTCTTGATGCCCATCTGTTTCTTTTTTTTTTTCACTTTTATAGATAAAAAATATATTTATATGTATAAAAAATAACGAGACTCGCCTACAGTGGGGAGTTAGCACCTGAATTTTTCAATACAGTCATACCTGGGGAAAACGGCCACCCATTGTCAAGGATAAAAGTGGCTGTATATCACAGGTGGCCGTCTTAGGCAGGACTGATCAAAATGAAGAAAGCAAATCATTCTCTTCTGAGGTCCAAAACGGGGCTGATCTCAGAATTTAGACTGCCGCAAAGCTAATTCAAAAGGGTACTGGTTTTCTTTTTCTTTAAAAAAAAAAAAGGGGGGGGGTGTAAAAAGGTTTGTTTTGTTGGTTTGTTTTTTGGTAAGCTTTCTTTTTGTTGCTGATTTTGTGCAAGGGTAAAATAAACGAAATATTATGTAAGTAAGATGATGAAGACCAAGTTAAATGGTAAAACAAACACACAGGTCGCCACCACTCGGGGAACGAGCGACGCTTCTGTCGAAAGTTCACCAACGTCCACTGTTACTTTGTTGCAGATTAGGTAAACAAAACAGTGAGAAGTCACCTCACACGATTTGTGCATGAGTTGTGGGCAGAGCTTATAGGTATAGGTTCTGACAGATCCCGCTTCCCTCACCAGCAGTTGAAAATTTATTGTTAGGCCTACAGTCCTACCCACAGGTCAACATGGGTAAACATTCACTGAAAGGACTAACAATAACGACAGGTGAATGAATTATGACAGCCCGTCAACAGCCTGAGGGGCCGATTCAAAATTTATGACAAAGCAGAGGGCAATGAGTGACCATGCCTGGCCGCCTGAGGCAGTGGGTTGATAAAATAATGTGGTCGCGGCCGTGTTGGACAGATTACCTTTTACACAGTTAAATTATATAGAAAAAATGCAAGGGGGGAAAAGGAAAGTGGCTGTTTGTACAGGTGACCGTCACGGCAGGTTCGACTGTACTGTATTATTTCTGCGTTACTCAAAACTTCCTTGCCTGCTTGGCTATGAGAGTCATTCTTTTTCCAACATTGAACTTTCTTACCTGCTTGGCTGAGGGAGTCATGCCCATCTGCACGACAATGATGGCTCTCATGATGTTCTCTTCCTGCATTCTCTGACAGTACGTCTTGATGGTCTTGATCCCAACTTTGCTCTCATCGGGGAAAAACACAAACATCTGGTCTGTAATAGAGATATATTTGAACATGAGAAAAATAAACATCAAACCCACAGCAGCGGGAGATCTGAGCATTGAAGAAGAAAAACAATTAATCTCTAATTGAGTGAAACAGAAATGTGAGAGGAGAACCGAAAAATAAGATATAGATCTATATATATCAGAGTGATATTTGAACATGAGGAACAAAAACATCTGATCTTTAAGAGAAAGAGACTTGGACATAAAAAACATCAGACCTGTTCTTAAAGTGACAATGAATTACTCTTCTAGTAATAACTAAACAATTGTACTACCAAGTGCTTCTCCCTGTACTCAGTAACCAGACAGGCAAACCAGGTCAAATGGAATCAGTATGGACTGGGGCTGAAAGCTAGATAAGTGTGTCAAATGAGTGGAGTCTGTTCTAGATCACTGGAATCAGTAGCAACCAAGACAAGCGTACTAGATATATAAGTGTATCCCTGGACTATGTAACAAGACAAGTACACCGGGTTAATGAAATCAGTACAACATACAAGACAAATGAGCCAGGTGAGTGTTCTACAATAAATAACTAGATAAGCACACTAAGAGCTTATCCCTGTATTCAGTAACTAGACAAACATATTTGGTCCATGTTCCTGAACTTTGTAAATAGACAGGACAGAACAGAATACCAAATTAGTACGATCAGTGACAAACTATACATCTGAGCCTTGTGAATGTTCCCGAACTAAAGAACCCGAAAAGAGTACCAGGTGAATAGCGTTACCTGTAGGGTCATCATTGTGAGCCACCAGCACAATGAGGTCACTGCGGCTGGGCTTCCTCTCACTGAGGACAGGAACAAAGACACACAATTATTTTCAAAGAAGAGAACGCTCTATGCCCGGACATACACAGACAGAACCAACATTTTATACCAGACACAAGGCGATAGTTGAATGTCATACACGACAGACAAACGCAGGCAGGAGAACATTACATATCAGACACAGGAATGTGGTGGCATCATTTTATCTTCCGGCGAATTTTGTATGGGTTCAATGATGCCCCACAAGATACAAATGAAATAGGTTCTGCAATGGTGGAGAATTTAGCTCAGTGGGAAAAGAAGAGAAGAACAAAAGAAAAAAAAAAGGAATGAAGACAGAGATGATACACAAAAATGAATAGTTCACATGATGAGCACAGACATCATATATTTATGATTCAATCATTAAAGGGTCACAAGTGCTTCTATTTATTTATTTATACATCCCCCCCCCCCCCCCCCCCCCCCCCCGCGAATCGAAACAAACCGCACCACTCTGGCCTGACAAGACTACCTGACAAGATTTAAAGACTTCATTAACAGAACTGCTGAGGATAATGCATGAACATGTGGAAAAGATCTACTCACACAGTTGATTTGTAAAGTGAGATCTGCCACAGTTTTTTATTTGGAAAGAAAAATTTGTGATAAGGTTGTGATCAGCAACATGCAATTTGTGAAGTATGATTTCTGATTTATGAAAATGGGTTTCCAATTTGAGAAGTGAGATTTATGAAATAAGACTTTTCTATTTGAAGAAGTGAGTCGATAAATTTTGAGGTGGGATATTATATTATGTAGTGCGCATTCTAATTTGAGAATAAACATTTCAGACGTGAGAGGAGAGCTGGCCATTTATGATCTGTAACATGACATAATTTGCAGAAAGAGATATTTGTGACATGTGAATTGTGAAGAGAGATTTATGATTTGTGAAGTGTGAATTGTGAAGAGAGATCTGTGATTTGTGAAGAAAGATTTGTGATTTGTAATTCTCTTTCTCTACATCCTCACCTTTTTCTTTCAAACACTGTCCTCATTACAAAAGTACAGATGTACATGAGGGACCACAATGGCAAAATGGTGTTTGCTAAAATCATGGCTACATCCAAGTGTCAGTGTCACATAGTTGACACTAATCTGTGCCTTGAACACATCCAGCCAGAAGAAAGAGATGTACCTACCTGGGCTTATCACCAAACTGTGCCTTGAATCCATCCAATGTCTGATCCAACTCCTCCTGAGTCACAAGGTACCCGCGGTCATGACAAAGCTGGTCAAACAAAAAAAGGATAAAGTGATGGGAACCTGACCACACAGCCATTTTCATGTCCGTCCCTGTAAGAGGTTTTTAACCCTTAAAACCCTATATACTGCTGGTAACCGCTGACGCCGTATTTTCCTATACCACTAGTCAACTTTATCATTTAATTCCCAGTGCTAGAAACATGGGATGTAACTCTAGATGACTCTGTCGCATTTTTGGGGATTATGCAATATTGTGTGTGTGTGTGAGCGCGTGTGCGTGTGTAGTGTGTGTGTGTGTGTGTACACCTTTGTTTGGGGAGGAGAAGAGGATGTGCAGAATGGTACAGGCTAACTTTATGGAACGAAAATTGGTGAGATTGTTAAGATAACCCAAATTAACCACACAAAAACGAAACAAACAAACAAAAAGAAAAAGGAAAAAGGGTTGGAGGGGGTGGGGGTGGGGGGTGGTGCTGTGGATGAGAAAGAAGAAAAGAAAACGGAAAATAAACAAACAAAACGAAGAAAGTTCACCGCAATTTGCTCTCCCGTCAATTGATATCGCAACGATGGTTATACTGTCGTAAGTCTTGCATGTTGTCACTGGTCGACATCATATTCTTTACAGACAAATAATAACATATTAACATTGTGCTCTCTCTTTACCCTACTTAGTACAAGGTCTGGCCACCCGAGGCTGCAGAAATCCCCACGGACCAGTAGCGTTAGGCTAATCGACCGAATTCGTTCGAGTAGCAAAACGCTAGCCATCCCAGATCGGGCGGCTAGCACCGGCCTTATTATTATTATGGAAGTGGCTATTCTCACCCCGGGTGAGAATAAAAATATGGTCGACCTCTCACCCTGGGTGAGACTTGCCAGCATTGGCTATTTTCACCCACTGTGAAACAAGACATGTTTTTCCTAATTTCTGAATACTGACTATCGGTATGGATGATCAAATTGACAAAAGCAAACTTTTTAAATAATGTTATAGATCTAGCTCAAAAGTAAACTTATTTGTACGTCTACAAAGATGCTACGGTTATTTCACTTTTCCAATTGAGCCGAACTACGCGAGTCGGCATTTTCTTTGGCTCAGAAGTTTTCGCGCTACTTCTCTCTCTCTCCCCTCCCCTTTCTCTCTCACTGCCCACAACAAAATTGCACGCTTTCAACAAAAGAGCGCTGGAGCGTTTGTTAATGGTGAACGCTACACAACACTGGTTGGCCTATCACGGTGAACACACACCGGGTGAGAATAGCCAAAAGGCTCGCCTGCACTATTCTCACCCGGAGTGAGAATAGAGGTGGCCTATTATTATTGTTGTAGCCTAACTTAGATCTACCATTTTTTCAAGGTAGTGACTACGTTCTCTATTGTTAGAGAAGGTATGCAAGCTGTCTACGTTCTCTAATGTTCAGTGCTTCCAAGCGTGGCATCCCGGTCCTGGAAGGGTTTTTTCCTCCTCCTCCCTACTGACCAACAATTTGCTCCCAGACCCCCAACCAGGGCAAATAGTTATTGGCAGGAGGAACAACTCAGCAATTGGCAAGGGTCGGGGGGGGCGGAAGCTGAAGACAAGACTCTACTAGACTAGATCTAATATCTAGATGACTACTAGAGCCTATATACGGCATACCGACACATACGTCAGACCGGCACTAAGCACGCATTCGGCCCAAAATTGGACAACCAATTATATGATAACCTGGAATGATGTCTGGTATACAATTCCGTTCAATATTGTTTTGTTTTCAAGTTCAACAATGTTGAGCAGAATCAGACAACTGTGTGAGCAGAAATAATCCATTTCATCTCCAAAGGTAAGAACCACGTTCAGCCATTACGGCTTGCAGATGCGCAATGCGTCGTGGGAAATAAGCTATTGATTCTGTAATCGTACCCACATGATTCGTTTAGCATTTTTATTCAGTTTATAAGGTGTCTAGTTACCGCCACAAACCATTCGCTGCTCTTTGTTGTAACAATTGGGGCCGGTAGGGGGGGTGCCGGTATGGGGTACAATTTTTTGAGGGATGTACCCGATACCGGCACTATATTTTTTTACATGGTGCGTGACTAGAAAAATAGTTAATTCTTCACGGACAATGGATGGCATCTTAGTACTTTAGATTTTTTAGTTTCTATGATTTGATATAGATCTAGATAGATCTTTTTTAATGTTTGAAACAAATTTACATGAAGGAAACTCTACCCCTTCCCTCCACCCGTTGTATGTAATGATGATGGTGATGTTCCTCTGTCCAATGTATGTTGTGATGATGTTCCTCCAGCCATTGTTTCCACATGTTGTGATATTGTTCCTGCTCCTACTGCTTCTGTTTCAGAAGAAGAACTTGCTGGCCCTCCCCCAACTGCCCTTGTCTCTAGTTGTGAGTGGTCAGTTGATGCCCTAAAGTTTTCGACCACAGGTCTGGAATTCTCAGGGATCGAATGTACCTCCGAGGACTTCCTGGATCCTGCAGCAGAGTTTCAGCTACCTTTGGTTTCAACACCAGCTCGGGATCCTGTGGATAACCAGGACCATGACTATTGTCTGCCTGAGCAGGCATTGAGACCATTGGAAGATGAAACTCTGGTGACACCCCAAGCCCCCCAAAAACTGCCTCAGGACAACAATTTTGCTTTGTCCTTGACAAGCTAATTGATCACGCCATTGTAAAGAGCAGCCTTTATATAATGAAAAAAACCCAAAATTTAATATGGGACGTTCTTTGGTGAGTTTTGAGACAATATTCGTCTGAGTATTTAAAAGAAACTTGGCAACCCAGTACATTTTCTAGTGCAGAATCTAGTCCTGCTTTCAGATTTGTCATAGCTATCCTACATTTTGAGTTATGAAGACGTTTAAACGTAAAAATGTGGCGGTTTTCGGTGCGTTTTGAGACAATATTTGTCATAGCTCGCCTATTTCTTGGAATATGTAAATGAAACTTGGCAGTCTAGTACATTTTTTAATGCAGAATCTAGTCATGCTGTCAGATTTTTAATACCTCTGTCATACTTTTTGAGTTGTAAAGACATTAACAGGTAAAAAAGTGGCGTTCTTTACAGATTTACAAAGATTATCAGTCATTTATGTTCTCCCAAAGTCATGATATTTAAATGAAACTTGGCAACATAAAAGGTTCCTTCTTGCCAAGCAATGCTCTGGATCAATTTGTCACAAAAATGTAAAAGAGCTGAATTTATTGGTCTAATAAATCCAGTTCTCTACTAGCAAAAGCATGCACACTTTGTTATAGAAAATAAGATCGTCTCTGTGTATATCCATTGTTGGACTGTGTCCTATTGTGTGGAAGATTAAGATGCGTTTAGATAATATTATTATAGTTTACAAGTCCTGGGAATATTTCGCATGGGTAGGCTACAACTCATACAATAAAAGTAACATATTTGCAAACCTCCCCCCCCCCCTTTCTCTCTCTCTCTCTCTCACGCACACACACACACACGTGCACACGCGCGCACTCACGCGTGAACGATAACAATGTATAAACGGGACTGTCTTCCCAGACTGGACTAAATAAGTACCATACTCTTTAATAACAATCTTAATGCCTCACTTTTCCAAACAGCGCACACAGGACAAGTCCAAGTGTGTGCTTTCCCAAGAGGGGGGAATAGGCTTTCATAACGCAAACACAATGATTACAATGCCATACTTCTCAAGATGTTTGCTTTTCTGTTTCTATTCTTCTGTCATGCAATCAAGCAAATAAAAATGACTACATCTATTGTATTGTGACTAAAATGCAACAAAAATGCAAATTATCAAGGCCCCCGGTTAGTTTTCATCCTTCCCCCCATTTCGGTTCACGTAAGCGGGGCCTCGTTTGTAGCGCCCGAGGCGACCGATGGCTGATGATGTCACTCAGTGGAAATTTCCCAGCCGTCGGTCGTTCACCCAGCACGCGCAAATGGCAATGCCGCTTTTTCCCTTAGTTACTTTCACATTTTTAAAGATAACGCGAAAACCGCTAAACACAGAAGCATGAAATTTTAAGGGAATAAAGAAAAATGGTGTACAACGTATCAGTCATTTTGACAAATCACAGCTCCGAAAAATCTTCAAAGCGCACCACATCAACCACTTTTGCAAACGTTTTCGACTACTTCTTGGATGTCAAACTGCATACCACAAGATTGACCTCTTTTCTGATTGGCTGCCAAGTCTCATTCATATCCATTCACGAGAAGCGGCGTGAGAGCGAGTTGAAGACAACAACCTTTGCGTTAGTGCGTCCCACGAAACACCCCCGCTGCGGGGGCCAAAAATCGGCAGAATAAAACGCCCTCGGTGGGCATTGCTAGTTAAAATTAACGAAGTGTATACAGACCCGTAACCGGGAACAAAGTCACGAAGTATACAGACCCGGTAGGGGAACTCTTTTGTGATTTCGGAAAGTTTCAGTGCCCTCTTGGCTCAGGGTTGACCTAGATCTAGGTTACTATATAGGCTATTTTATTATAGGTTCTTCTAGATCTAAATGAAGATTGCGGATGTCTTTTCGATGAACAATCGTTTTTCCTCCGTTTTTGGAGTTGGAGGAATCACAATTTGAAGAAAAGAACAATGCATAATTTCAATCCAGCAGTGACCCTCTCTATTTCTCTGCTTCTCTCTCTCTCCTCTGTGTATCGCTCGCCTTCTCTTTTTCTTTGTTTGTCTGTCTTTCTCTCTCCCCACCTATTTCCCACTCTATCTTTCTCTCGTTCCCTCCTGCCAACCGGGGCATGTCATACATTTTGCTGCTAGCACCTCTCTCTCTCTCTCTCTCTCCCTCCCTCCCTCTCTCTCTCACACACACACACACACACACACACACACACACACAAACCCCTACTCTTGTGGCCCAAACCCGTGAATATAATTGCGGGGTGGGAACTACCGAAAAAGCGCCCGAGATTCTCCATTGACTTGAGTTTTGAGAGATATAATAAAAACGGGAAAATTATGAATTCCTAAGGTTGAGACATAGGCAAAGTCAGTCCGCTGGTCCGGTATTTTTCAATCTTTCCCTATTTGGTCATCAAGACTTCTGGATTTCTTCTCTGGATGTAAACAACACAAATGGATTTAACGAACGGAACTAACTACAAGAAGACAACAAGATCACCGAACATCGTCATAGTCACAGGTCATAGGTCTAGCCCCCACCTGCATAACTGTTTTTCGTATCCTCCAGAGTTTATATGTTTCATGCTGATCATCCATTGTCACTTTGAGAGACGTATAGTGATGCTAAGCAAAATTATTATCAACTTTACGCTTCAATAATAACGGCCCAGCAATAAGTGAATGTGATTGTGGTGGGTCAGCGAAACAGAAACACATGAGTTACAATATAAAATAGAGTTGCTTCCCCTTCGTCAACAAACCTTCAGAATAAGAAAAGCTATACAACAAATTGTAGCATTTTTTGTGTTTTGCTTTTGTTTTTCAATTCAAATAATCAGTGTGAGATAGAGGATAAAGAATGTAAATTTAATTAATCAACATCATCCAGTTGTGTAGCTATACAACCATGATTTTTTTTTTAATACGAAAATAAGAGGCAGTTTTATTCGCTCTTAACAACACACCACAGAATTCTACTAAGTGTAGAATTCTGTGCAACACACAGACCTCTTTCTATTTTGAATTGCTTATTTTGCGCAGCTCAAAGACCGCATGCACCGGAAGAACGACAGGCCCACTCATCTGTCATCTGACTGCTGAAGCGCATTAGATTAAGTGCACTTGTACTAAATTTCGCAGCACTGACGTCACGCGTTTCAGCTGTAATAATAAGAAGAAATAGCCTATTTTATAGATTGCGTCATGCCAGTGGATGCAAGAAGAACTCCAGTCTGCCCACTCGGAGAACACTAATATAAGATAACAACGGCGTTGTTATATAGCACGGTGTAACGTAACATGTTACATTTAAAAGATGGTGCCCCCTCTATGACGCGCATGGTTGTAGGCCGAGAAACAGTTGTAAAAATGATAACAACTGTAGCTTGCACACGTCAGCATTTATTACAAGTAGATCTGGGCCTACACTTCACGGGAGCATGATACACGTGGTAGAGTGGAGTGTTAGTAGTGTAGGTTTAATTTTTTATTTATTTTTTTAGGGGGGGGGG